AATATTGATTATGTGATTACTGGTTTTAACAACATTAAGCACTGATTAGTGATGTGCATTTTACACTTGAAATCCATGCTTTTGTTATAAATAACACATTCAAGTGAACTAAATCATATATATAACAAACTCACATCTATCCAACCAAATATGTTAGCTCTATCTCTGATATTGAGCGCTTTTTCTAATAAATACACATATAATATATAAATAATTATACATGCTTATATTTATTTATATTTATATACACTTTATATATACATATATATATATATATATATATATATATATATATATATACACACACAAGGTTGATTAAAATAACTGACAAAGTCTGTTTAATTTTTTTTTTTTTTTTTTACATTTTTTTCCAATTTTCAGATAAGGTGTTAAATATTGTGCTGGAAGTTGTGGATAAACTGTCCAAAATTCATATTTTGTTATTTTTGTTCAGGTACATTTGACTTTCGCAGTCATTATGAAGAACTGATGTGGTGTGTGTAGTAGTTAGAATTTCTCAGCAAAGACTCAAAAGAGATTATTATACAAAATAAACAAGCAACATTAAATAGAATATTCCCTACAGGAGATGGTATCCTGAAAACATACAGACAATGAAATTCTAACTACCATATATATATATATATATATACTTTGATATAAAGTCAATATTTTCATCTTGGTTAAAAACATAGATGAAATACACGAACTACAAAAAAAATTTCCTAAAAACTTCCATTCTTAAGTTCACCTATGAACTCAACAAAATTCCTTTTCTTGATACATTGATAGAAACGAATAATACATTTATTATCTCCCAACATAAAAACTAACTAGCATAAACACGTGCACACTCAGCTATAAAAGTGAATGTCCTAACTATTACAAAACAGTAATTATACAAAATTTAATTAAAAAAAAAAAAAAAGTTAAACTCTCATTAATAATGACTTTTCCCGATTACATTGTTGATGAACAAATTACAAACTATTAGAAATGTTAACATAAATAAAAAAGAACATAATACTTCCGCAAATAACCCTAAACATATCAACCTAATATACGGCAATCAAATATACAAACTACAAGCAAAAAAAACCTCATAACTACTAATATATCCACCAGTGATCCCAGTAACTAATTATATAATATACTAAATTTATTACAACCAACTTCTGCAATAACTTCTGTCAACTAATGTTTTGTAAAAGACCAACACTATATATCAATTTAAATGTGCTTTGGGAGATTGTATTTCTGACAAAAATATAAATATATATGTTGGTTTCAAAGATGGCACTTATCAAGAAGACTTTACACATGTTGGATTCAAGTTCTATTGTACAACATTTAAAAGAACATTCCTGCCCACATTAACATTTTAGAGAAATATTAATTGACAATACAAGTATACTCCACTATGAAAATAAAAACCAAAAACTTCAAATTCCCAAAGTAGTCATAAAAAAAGCACTAAATAAAATTAATTATGAGTATAGCAATAATGTTTGAAAATGTCAAAAAAAAAAAAAAAAAAGACATGAGAATATCCTTGTCTTGCATTCTTTCAACCTTGATTTTTGCAGGTTTAATATACACAAATTTGATCGACAAGTTTGCCACCATATATCAAATAACTTCTCTGCAGGTGGGTTTTGGGGGAATAGGGAATAAATCGGACACATAGCCTAGAAAATTTGCAGACAATTTTTGTGGAACAAACTTCTGCATGGATGCTTCCCAGAACACTAAAATCTTAACTTCTCCAAGTCTAGGGTCAATTGTTATATATCCACCATGTCCTCAAAAAACTTTACTTCCTACTCACATACTTCATCCTCCAACCCTCTACATTGAGTGCCTGTTGGGCTTTGTATTGAGTGGATATAAGTATCAAATAAACAAAAAATAAATTAGAAAGTCAAATATATAATACTCGAAAAATTATGTTTAAGGAGTTTTTTGAAACTGTATTGACAGGGTAAGAGACACTTGCTGAGAACAAACATTTTTCAATTAACTAAAGTGTAAAAAGGGTAACTAGACATTATCAAATCTCATGGTAGTAGTTTTCTCCTCTTTTTATGATAAGGATCCCAATTCCTATTATGGGTGGGGGGGATAGGGTTTCTCCATGGTTTAAACTCAACGCTGACCTTCTTCGCATTGAGTTTAAAATTCAAGCTGAAAGAGCCCAGCCTGCTCTACTTTTCACATAATATTTTTTTTATATATATATATATATATATATATATATATATATATATATATATATATCTTGGTGCAACTGCATAACAAATTTCGCCCATTGATGTCCTAAAACACATCACAAAAACTTTTCCATCTACTTTGTCATACAATTTCACAATATATAAAAATCTATATATTATATGGAGAGAGAGTATTCATTTTCATCTACTGAAAATTAAAGAAACAGATGTGTTCTTTGACAGGATTTGAACCAGAGTTCTCCTTTGCAGGAGAAATCATCCTTAGATCCAGTATCCTTTTAACAGACTCAGCTACAAAACTGTCGCGAACCAAGCAAGGCTGAATATTGCCTTTAAGAAATCCTCATTCCAGATTTTCAATAGTTCATATCTGCTCAATGTTGTATCCCTGAAGTAAATGAGGCAGTTTCTAAAGAAGTAATGAATTTTTTATTAATCCGACAGATTTTTATCACTTTAAACATTATTTTTAGTGGCTACTCATATTTGAGTAGATGCTGAGTTCTTTAAAAGAGTATATTTATTTCTGTATACCAGCCTGAATATTCAAGAAATCTTTAAGAGAAAGAGGTGCCTTTCAGCAGGATTTGAACCATTCCCCTTTAATTTTAACACACAAACACTACAGAAAATGATTCCATTTGGCAGTGAAAAATATAAATGCATTATCAGGCAATACAGGATTGATTGATTTGAGTATTACAGTGTATCAAAATTTTGCAGAAAATATTTTTACACTGTAAAAATATTTTGGAGATAATGATTTACTGATACAAGTTCTACCAATTAACACATAACTGGGGGGAGAAGAGGAGATTTCATACTTTTCCCAAGCCGATTTGCATGTAAGTGAATATAATGAACCTGACTGGAATTGGAACTCAGCTCTCAGAATTCCAATTCCGAGCCATTATCCATTATACCACTTGCACACCCAAACTTACAGCATCTGGCATTCTCAAGCTGGCATTCATCTAGGTACTGACCAGGCTCAACATTTAATTTCAGTGATTATATGAGAACCAATGTTTCAACATGATATGGCCATAAGCCAGCAATACAGGAAATGAAGAGTTAATTTGCATTAATTGAAGGTAAAAAAAAAAAAAAAAAAAAAAAAAAAAAAATTCTTCAATTAAAATTGAAAACCAGATAGTTAGATAAAACAAAATTGGCAAACTTGGACCTTCATGCCCAAAAAAAAAAAAAAAAAAAAAAAAATGAAGCATCTAAATGACTGTTTTTCCATTGATACCACTCTTATTTTAATTACCTTCCATTGTTGGCAATGTTTTTTTTTTGAAAAGTCATGATTAGAATTGTAATAAGACCTTAACAGATGATGAAAGTGAATTTATACATCTTTTTTGTTCTTGAGAATTTACAAAATTTTAAACATGATTTATTTATTAGATTGTTTACTTACAAGAATAATTTTATATTTACAACATTCTAAAAACTAATAAAATTAAAAATAATGCAATGTAATATTTATCATTTACCAATTAATAAAGACGTAAGTATGAAAACAAATTTTTTATAAATTTATAAACATTTACTAAATTATTAAACTATATGAATCAACTATAATGAAATCCTTATTTACCATTTTATAAAGTTCAAATTGATTGGCAATTAGATGATGTTTTGCCAACTATTTCATAAACAATCTAATAAGTAAAAAGTCTTTAATATTTTTATTTTCTCAAGAAAAAAGAAAATGTATAAATTAACTTTCATGTTTTTGACATTTTTGTGAGCATGAAGGTCAAAGTTTGACTGAAAATTATATTATGAACCTCAAATGAACAAATGTTTTTTTTTTTTTTTTTAAAACAAATTTCCAAATATTCTCTTATCTCTAATGAAATGATGAAGACAATTTCAGACAGAAAATAAGCTTCCGTCCATATCTAAATCTTTTATTTTATTCAAGACTTCTGAAATCAACACCTATACCTTATGACACACAAAATCCCTTAAACTAAAGTCCAAAGTTTAAGTGCAATGCAATTCTCACTGACAGAATTCAGATTCATTTCAAACATTTCATTATGAAAACTTTTTTTAAAGACTGAAGAGGTAATGGAACAAGGGTGGCCAAACTGCAGCTCGTGATCCACATTCAGCCCTTTTACCTTTTAATATCTGGCTTGTGGAAATATGTCGGCTGAGATCCTCTTTTTCAGCATAGTTAATATAAAAATTGTAAATAAGAAAAATTTCAAGCTTTATAATTATAAGAATTGTAAGAATTGCAACTATTGAGTTAAAACGTTAAGTTTAATGTTAATGCATATGTAGCAAAAACGTATGTGTAAATTTTGTTTGTGTCTTGCAATTCCAAAACATCTGAACTTTATTGTATGTGGCTCTTACATTAAGCAAATTTGGCCACCCATGTAATAGAATGAAGAAGTAGAGAATTCAATTTTAAATACTTCAGGTGGGCACAGGTATTCAAACAAAATAAGAACAGTTGGTTAGTCGTTTTTGTTTTGCAGCATATCAATACCTCTACGAGTTATTTAATGCCAAAACTTAAATATTTTCTATGTGATTTTATTTATTTTTTGGCGAGATAATAATAGTTTAGTGATACAAATCTTACTAATTAACCTATAGCTGGTGGAGGAGAAGTGGTGGATTCATATCTCTCCCAAGGGTATTTTTGTATAAGTGAATATGACAACCCCAAATGGAATTGGAACTTGGTTTTCCAATTAACAATTCCAAGTCATTATCCATTACACCACTCACACATCCAAGCTTACAACATCAGGTATTCCCGAGCAGTCACCCATCTAGGTACTGACCAGGCCTAACGCTGCTTAACTTCAGTGATTTTACAGGAACTGATGTTTCAATGCGATATCACTGTCAGCCGCGAAATGAGAAATCAAAAACAAACTTTTATACTATATGTACTGATACAGGGTTGTAGGTACTGACTAAGCCTGGCTTACTCTGGAACTAAACTATGAGTATAGGTCATCCTTTGTGAAATCAACTCATTGCCGTAACAACAGTATGCATGACTGAGTTTTTGTTAACACTCTGGTAAGGCAATCAATCCAGGTTTACAAAGGCTCTGTATTCAAGCCTTATGAAGTAAAAGTGTATTCAAGCATTTTTCAAGTTATTTGTCTAATTCACCAATATGAAGTAAATGTTTGAATCCCAAAAAAAGAAGAAATATTAAAATATATAGAGGAATAAAATTAGTGTGGCTTAAAAGATTACGGCTTTATTGTCAACTGATTAAGTCGAGCAGATTTAGGCTCGTTAATACATTGCAAACTTCACACCCGTTTAGTGCAATTTTTGGATTTGTTCACTTCTTCCCCATCCCATGACAACACTTCACTTTCTTAACACCAAGATAAATAAGTCATTTAGATTAAGAAGGATTAAGTCAGGCAATACCAGATTTAGAAATAAACCAATAGATTAAGTTTATGTTGGACTAAAAGAAAACAAACCAGAATATAAAAAGGAAAGGTTCTTACAATTAAACCCTTATTATAAAATGCACTCTGTAACGGAACCTTTTAAATCCAGTTTCAGGAAAAAAAATGTTTTCTTTTGAACTAAAATCTGTTTTATATTTAGGAAGGATATTAAAATAATCAAGAACCTATAGTGGCAGCAAACTGCATGCATAGGGATAGAAAATTAGTTTAGCAGATATACAAAAACAGAAAGGGGTGCAAGATAAGTATCTTCACACCAGACTTATTCAACCTATACTGAGGCAATTCTGAGAGATTTACAGGTCCTACCAGGAGTCATTATTGGCAGCCACAATCTTAACAACATAAGATATGCAGATGACAGTGTTGATAGCAGACATGAAAAGAAAACTACAAAAACTCTTACAGAAGATAGTGAAAGAAAGTGTGAAGAAAGGACTAAACACAAATTGAAACTTTTTTTTTTTCTCTTGATAAAATAGTAAAAATTATTTACTAGGTAAAATTAGTTTTTGGTTCAAAATCAAACAAGTATGGAAATTTAAAAACTGACTATCAAACTCCTTTTTAATAAGCTAAAGAATCTACATGTTAACCTTATAAAAGGTTAAGAAGCCTTTACCTGAAAAAGTTTTAGAACTGTTACGTGATTTTGTCCTCCTACATTTTTTAGGAAGAAGATTTTGAAAACACAGGTTCTATATAATTTGTATATAGCATCTGTAAAATGGGGTAACAAAGTTTTAGGGAATGAAACAAAAAAAGGATATTCTATAATTTACCTTGCACATATATAGTTGAAGGTGGTTTTATGAAATAAAGAGATGCCCTGAAAATGTGTTTTATATAAAATTTAATAAATTTTCTGTACATACAGATACAGGTCAAAAAGGCTCACATAAGATTTTTTTTAGACAGTGAAATTCAGATTTCAATCAAACATTTTTGTAAACATGATCACTACTTAGAATATATAAATGCAAAACCAAATACACTATTACATCAGGTGTGATTTAGAAAATTTGTCCATTTATGGCAAGTCATGTAATGGATTGCTGCCTGAAAGACTTTCAGATTTCATTCACTTACATTGTTATTTCAGATAAAGGATATGCAACCAAGGTAATCTCCCCAGAGATGGGTAAAAAAGAGCATAAACATGATGAAAAACCCGCAAAACATGACTATGCAAACAAAAAATTTCATTGTCTAAATGTTTGTTATTATTAAGAGGAAAGGTCAAAGTTTTTTTTAAAATTTTTTTCCATTTTTTAATCGTTCAGCAATGTCCGAAATTTTGGTTAAAAATCTAGTTTTTTTTTTTGAGTCTCTTGGGAATACCATTTTTTCCATTTTAAAAAAACTGGAAATCTAACTTTGAAATTTTTTTAAATATCAATTATCATTTTTCAAAACTTATTTTTGTTAAAATCAGAAATTATAATGTTTATTTAAAATATTTTGAACCAAACTTAACTTAGCTTTTGTTAAAAAGATGTAATTTGAAAATAAAACAAAAAGTCAGGTCTATAAACATTTCATGTCTCTTGACATGTGATGAATGATATATTTACTTAAAATCAATGAATCAATTTTTTAAAATAGAAGGAGAAAAGTGAAATAATTTACTTTTACGTGAACAAATTATTTACCCCGTTAAAACTTAACGTAAAACTTTTAGCAATTTTTTTTTTTTTTTTTTTTTTAATAAAAAACCTTTACGTTTATGATGCTTTATGGGAAATATATTGTAAAGAAATTAAAATAAAACTTTTAAGAGTTACATTAAATTTCATATTTCTTAAGAAAGGTATCTAATTTATAACTGTTTTTCTTATGAAATTTTATCAGAATTGTACATAAAATACTATAATTTTATGTACATTTATTACATTCAACTGTTATTTGTAATTGCATTCATTTTATTATTAATTTTGATATTTCATTTATGGAAAAAATGGGTATAGAGATTAATATAAAAATAAGATCATATAAATTTCAAAGAAGATGATATAATGTTTGTATTTAAATTTTTGAAGTTGAAATTGAAAAATCAAATTAACTTTCCACAGGTGGGAAGTGTTCAAGAAAAACTAAAGGCCTTAACAGCGGAGAACAATTTAACTCAAATAACAACTTAATTATATTCTGCCAATCTAGTAGCATTTTATAATTACAGCTCGATTATAAGCACAAAATTACATTTCAAAAAAACTGGGGATCTTCTGATTAGTCAAAAATACAATTTACAATGTATGTAAAAAAAATCTATCTTCTATAAGGACAATTCTGAAAGCCAATGCGACAAGAACTAATTTTATAATATTTTAACAACTTAAATGTAAAATCTATTATAATTAATGAAATAACAAATAATTGTATTAAAAATTCATTTTTCATCAAAAAAATTTTTTTTGATGCATTTCAATACCTTATAAAGTCCATATTCATAAAAACAACTAAAAAGCAAATAAAAGCATTTGAAATTAAATAATATATTTGTTTTATTGAGTTTTGGAAGTATACAAATCAGAGTTCAACTTTTCATATATAGAGCTGCGGAATAATTAAAAAAAAAAAAACATGATTTGCATTCCTCAAATCCCTGTGCTTTTTAATTATTGTAATTCACTAAACCGAAGAAAATTAATTCTCATTTGATTTCATAAAAAATTAGTTATGGGGGGGTAATAAATATTTTTTAAAATATTTGCCATTGCCATTTAAAAAAAAACATTTATAATAATAAAAAAAAAAAGGCAAAATTAAGTGATGTTCACCATGTTTTTTTCCCTTCCACCAACTATAGGTTAATTAGTCTGGTTTGGTTTATTTGTTTAATGGCATATCAACTCTTTGGAGGGTATTTAAAGCCAGAAAATATTTCTAGATTTCCTTTTGGGAGTTTGGTAATAATTTTTTTTTGTATTTTTAGTTTTAAATTAACTAACCTGATTTACCTCTGTGGGGAAAGGCCTCTGATTGGGAGGTTTTTGAGTTGGGACCACTCCAGGCTGTTACCACCTATCCAGACTCAGGATAGACCTGGTAACACCTGTTAAGGACAACTATGGGCAAATAAAACCTCCCCAATCAGAGGCCTTTGTTAAAAATCTAAAAATACAAAAAAAAAAAAAAAAAAAAAAAAAAAAAAAAATTTGTAAAGCTTAAGGAAATAAAATTTTGGCAAAATGACCCTTATTGTTGATATGCCATTAAACAAATAAACCAAACCAGACTAATTAACCTATAGTTGGTGGCTTTAAATAACCTCATTCATATTGCCAAGGGTATTTATAAAATAAATTAATATCAATCATGTACTAAATTTGAACTAATTTTCAATTCTGAGCAATTATTCATTTACTACCCACAGATCTAAACTTATCACCTGATATTCCCAATTTCACCCATTTTTTTTTTTTAGTCTCAACATTAATTAACTTTGGTGAAAGCTTTTTTGTCTAAAAAAAATAAACACTATAGTTATTTAAAAAGTTTTTGAAAGTGAATAAAAAGGGGTAAAGTCTATATCTGCTATATATAAAATTAAATTGAGAATTAATTGAAATATGTATGATGTTAAAATTCACTTTCAAATAAAACTACCCATCTGTGTTTCATTTGTGTTACAGGTTTTAAATACCTCCAAATCTCTGGGTTCAGAATACCTAGTCAAAACTAAATTTTATTGTCATCTGCTTATGTTATTATTAAGCAAAAGACCAAAGTTTTTTTTTTTTTTTATTTTTTAAAATTTTCCTTCTTTTAGAACATTCTAAATTTGATTAAAAAACTTTTTTCTATTTGTGTCCTTAACTTTGGTATTCAAATGCAATTTTTTAGCATTTTTTGACTTTCATTAATTTGAAAAATAGTGACAAATAAAAATAATTATCGGATGTTAATTTTCAGGAACTATTCACAGATGATTTCTGGTATTATAAATGTTTTTTTTAGAATGGTAAAATATTTTTTAAAATATTTATTACCCCCCCATAACTAATTTTATGAAAACCCTTCCGAAATTCTTGCTTCCCTGTTTTACTGATTACAATAATTAAAAATTTAAATGCAAATGCAAATCATGTTTTTTTGTTTTCTTGGATCTTTACCTGAAAATCAGCTCTGATTTGTAACATCCAAAACTCAATCAAACAAATATATTATTTAATTTCAAATGCTTTTATTTCTTTTTCACTCTTTTATGAATATGGACAATATTTTCTAAAGCAAAAAAATTTTTTTGATGAAAAATGAATTTTTAAAAAAATTATTTGTTATTTCATTAATATAATAGATTTTCATTTAAGTTGTTAAAATATTATAAAATTTTAAAAAAACAGTTTCAAAATAAGTAGATCTTTTTTTTAATTGTAATAATTGTATCATTTTGACTAATCAGAA